ATTACAGTTATCGAATGGGAATATCTACAATAGCGAACATTGTGCGAGAAGTTTGTAATATTATTTGGTTAAAGTTAACCGACGACTTTTTGCCTAAACTTAATAGCGAACTATTACAAAATGTAGCCGAAGGTTTTGAAGAAAGAGCAAATTTTCCACATTGTATAGGAGCCGTTGACGGCAAGCATATCCGAATAATTAAACCAATTGGTAGTGGATCCATGTTCTTTAATTATAAAAGCTATTTTTCGGTAGTGCTGATGGCTGTTGCTGATAGCAACTATCGATTTATTTACGTTGACGTTGGTGCATACGGAAGTGAATGTGACTCAACGGTTTTTAAAGAAAGTTCTTTGTGGAAAAACATTCAGACTCAAAAACTACAGTTACCAAATCCTAGGCCCCTCTATGGTTCATTAAATCCAGACATACCTTACTTTTTTATCGGAGATGAAGGTTTCGCCTTGAGTACTCATTTACTTAGACCATTTGCAGGGAAAGACTTAAATTATAAAAAAAAAATTTTTAACTACCGCCTCTGTCGAGCAAGAAGGTATGTAGAATGCACATTCGGAATACTGGCAAATAAGTGGAGAATTTTTCATCGTCCTCTTAATGTCCATACAGACTTAGCGGTTAATATTGTTAAAGCATGTGTCGTCCTTCACAATTTTGTAAGGGAAAAGGACGGTTATAACTTTGAGGACACCGTTTCAACCGATGGTTTTGATGATATACCTACACATCAAATCAGTCATGGTCAAAAAGCTGGGACTGGCATACGAAACGTTTTAGCTGACTATTTTGTAACAGATGAAGGCTCTGTGCCGTGGCAAAACTCAAAAATTTAGATTAATAAATTGCATAATTGTTACTATAGATACTTATTTCACAATAATAATAAAATTTATAAATCTTATATGAGCTTCAATAACTTGTAGTGGACATATAAAACAAAATAATAATATAATATAGCCAAATGTACTCACCAAATTGTTTGCGCTCCACGGCATCTACTTGGTCGAAGTTTTCATCCAGTTTGATGCAGATCTCTCTCCAAGCATCTCTTGTTTTATTCCTGTCTTTATATTCCTCCGAACTTTTGTTCCAAATTACAGGATAATCTTCTACCAAACTTATTAGCACGTCTATGTCAATTTCCCGTTCGGACGTCATAGTAGTAGTGATCGCACACACAACACCAGTACAACCCAGATGCTCTCGGATCACTGCGTCCGAGTACTACAGGAACAGTGTGTAGTGATATATTTACGCCAATGCCCCACTAAGTCTCGGTACGGTGAAATGCCCGGTCCGAGACTCGGACGAAGCAGCAGGGATCCGAGAGGTATTCGGTCTCGGCCCGGGCGTTACTCCGTTTCTTGTATAATGTGAAAAGACTAATATGTTTAAATGCCCTGGTACGATTTATACGAAAAACACTCGGACCGTTAAAGACCCGGGCGGGTGTTTTTCTTTATAGTATGTAACGACACTAATGATGAAGACTACCTGGCAGTCAACGTCCACTTTGATAACAGAGTTAGACGACGCACTTAAAGAATTTAGCAAATCTGCACCAGGACCTGACAACATACCCACAATAAGACTATTTGCCATCAACATACTGATTCAGCGATGTCGAGACGTAAACGTTGATCTACACTTGTGCTTTGTTGACTACGAAAAAGCTTTCGATAAAGTAAGACATGAAAAACTAATATCAATACTTATGAACAAGCGCATTGACAGTAAAATCATAAATATAGTGCAAATATTACATTGGGACCAAAGTGCCATAGTTTAAATTGATGGGCAACACTCAGAAAAAATGAAGATCTGTAGAGGAGTTAGACAGGGATGTGATTTTTTGCCACTTTTGTTTAACTTATAATCTGAAGAAATATTCCAAAACACGCTCAATAATATCAAAGCGGGAGTTACCGATATCGGAAAATTAATTAACAAATTACGAAATGCATACGACACTGTGATCATAGCAACGAGTATAGAAGATCTACAACATATTATCAAAAGTTTAAGTATGAATAGTGCTGAGATGGGAATTACTATAAACGCTAAAAAAACGACGTGCATGCTAATTACAAAAAGACCACAAAATAAATATCACCTATTGACAATCAATAGTAACGTGATAGATCAAGTAGAAAAATATCAGTACTTGAGAACTTTGATCAATGAAACCAATGATCATACCGCAGAGATAAACAGGCGAATAGAGATTGCCAGATCAGCATTTATACGAATGAAGCCACTTCTAAAGTTCAAAAATCTAAATTTGGAGATCAGACTACGTACCATTCGCTGTTATATATTTTCCATATTATTATATGGAGCTGAGGCTTTGGCTCTGGTTATACCGCAGAGTATTAAAAATATCATGGACTGATAGAATTACAAATAAAGAAGTACTGGAGAGGGTTGGTAAAGAAACAGAGCTAATCATTACTATACAAACTAGAAAACTGGGGACCAAAATATGAAATTTTGAGACTCATAATACAGGGAAAGATTCAAGGAAGAAGATCTGTTGGCCGAAGGCAGAACTCATGGTTGAAGAATCTACGTGATTGGTATCAATGTAGATCGATTGAATTGTTTAGAGCAGCAAGTTCAAAAATAAAAATAGCTATTATGATTGCCAACCTCCGTATGGAGACGGCACACTAAGAAGAAGAACCAAGAGGTCAAGAAACCAAGAAGACGTCCAAATTTAAGATGGTACCATGACGTAAGGAGACAAGCTGGTATAACATGGTAGAGAAAAACGAATTTTAGATAATCGTGAGCACAAATGAAGAATGACTACGTAAGGGAGGCTGTACCATGATCGATAGCATATGCTGAGAATGATGATGATAATGATGATGATGATGATAATGATGATGATGATGATGATGATGATGATGATGATGATGATGATGGTAATGATGATGATATATATATATATATATATATATATATATATATATATATACATATATATATATATATACATATATATATATATATATATATATATATATATATATATATATATATATATATATATATATTGTTATGGTATTCAAAATTAAAGAGTAAAGATATTAAATGTACGATGAAATTAATATTTCAGAGATTATAGAAAGTAAAAATACTCCGAACTGACTGGAATTAACCAAAGGTAATCTTAGTCATAAATAATTTTTTGTATAAATATAACAAGTGGTTAGTGCGGGTACAATGAATAGAAGTTAACGATGGTTTTTTCCCATAAGCCATAAAGTGTTCCGTAATCCGGGTTTGCGCCATGAACAGGACAATAGAAATAGTTAATAAGTAAATGGTTTTTCGGAATCTGTAAATACCCAGTAGAAATTAAGTGTCCTTCTAGAAATAATATAAATTAGGAAAGTTTGTAGGTATTTCTGGTATTTCTGGTAGGTAGAGGTTGGATGGATGGATAGATGTGATGACAGAGTTAGTTACTTCCAATTTCTTAAAGTGAATGATTGGTTTTCGAGGTGGTCTCTAGGGGTAGTAAGTGATAAAGAATAAGTTGTGAGTTGGTGAAGTAAGTGTGTCCGACGGTAGCTGATCTGGTACAAATGTGTAAGTAAACTTTTCCTACTTATATTCTACGTATCGCTGTTTATTTCGGAACGAGAGATTAAGTTTGGCGAGAGGAAAAGAGGCTGGCATCATTGGAAGGGTACGTACATTCGAAGGAGAGTATTGAAGACAGTAAATTGCAATATCTTGTTTAATATTGCCAACTACATAGGAGGCTGCTGAGAACTGATAGTTTATTTTGCATAGAACAAGGAATTGGCCAACTCAAGGCAGAGGAAGCGTTTGAACAGGAGAAACATTCATAATTAATTTCAATTTGAGAATTTTGGGACAAATAATATTAAAAATCCACTAGGAAACTAAGTTCCTGTAGCTGGCTGTATACCATATATCACAAAAAATTTATTTAAAATCCTTTATAAAAGGTATATAATAAAATGCCCAAACGGGCTATCACAAAGATATTGCAAAACGTTTTCGGATTATTAAATCCATCATCAGTGCAAACGAGGTATACATGCTATGAGCCACCAAAATATATGGGTCCAAACCCTTTAAATGATATAAATTTACATTTGCTTTACATTATATGTGGTTACAAATTCTGATGTTTAAGTTACCGTTGGAATTGGTAACATGGCGACGTATGACCCTACATAGGTAAAATGGTCCTGAGACGAAGTGTCTTCGAGGACCTGTTAATACCAAATAATAATATTATATCATATTAGTAACGTGTGAATTAGTTGTCGATGGTCGAAGGATATCAAATTTGTTCTGAGAGGGGACGGAGCTGTGGAGAGAATTGGATAATTCAAACAAATTTTTCTTGGTACAATCGATATACCAAAATTGTAGTAGGAAGGACACTGAATATTACTTGATTTGTTTATGTAGAATAATAAGCTCGATTTTAGATTGTAATTGTATTATATTATCCATGCATTATTGAAGATTCACGTACGTAGAACGATTTTTGTTTGATAAATATTGTATGCTAATAATTTTTGGAGTTATTTTAATCAGTTTATTTTATTACATTATTTTCATATCATATTATGTTGTTCTATTCCGTTATTCTTTGGACCTAACCCAACAGCTGTAAAGTATAGATATAGAAGCACGAGTAAAACCTGAGATAATAAAATTTAAAGGGTGTGATATAAATGATAAATTAAAAATTTAAATAATTTTTTATATATAATTTTTGTAAAGTTTTAAAACTAAAATTCTTGATATCACATTAATATATACATATATATATATATATATATATATATATATATATATATATATAGTATTATATATGTGTGTGTGTGTGTGTTGTGTGTGTGTGTGTGTGTGTGTGTGTGTGTATGTGTGTGTGTGTAAAATTTACTAGCAATTGTATCATCGACACAGAACTACATAAGAAATAAACTTACCGTTGAGGCTTTTACATTAGGATTGTAATAGCAATTCTTGCTGGTTTGTAAATATCTGTAGTCCAAAAGATTCGTACATACATTATTTTTAGTTGCCACACTAGTACAACTAACAAATTTAAACACTGCATACAACACAGTGAGTGTTGTTACCGATTTCATCTTGTGACACTAAAAATAAAATTAATAGTTAATACAGATTTCTTTAAATACGTGAGATAAGGTGACGATAAAATAAAGTAGGGATAAAAACCGATTGTTAGTTTAGTGGATATGTATAAAAAACCTATAAAAGCAAAATTTTTATTGTATTCCATTATGTTATGTACATATGTTTTAATCCTTAACAACAATAAGCGAAATTTGTATTTTAGAAGTAAATTATGAATAACGATAAGCAAGTATTGTATCTTAAAATAAGCTAAAACCTATTACATGAAAAGAAAAATCTGTCGGTAATATTTTTTTACATTTTAATAAAAAAACGAGAAAATCTATGTTATAACAATTTTTGACTAACAACTAATCGCTTCAAGAAAATAACGCTGTGATTAATTAGATTAAGGCACAAAGTAAATTATCATTATTTTTCTAATATTTTAATTACTCTGTTCATTCCAATTGTTCAAGAGAGGCTCGTATATAAGCACACTCAACTTCGTAAGAGATAAAAATGGACAAATGGCTGGCTGCCGAAAACAAAATAATAGAAAGATAGGCTGAATATTTTGAAGAGCTCCAAAATATCCAAAATTTCACTGATGAAAACAATGAAAATGGTGGAAACAACGGAGAACATGAGTATCAAACGGTCGAATTAGAAATACCCCGACCAAGCATGGAAGAAATTACGCATGCCATAAAAACGCTTAAAAACAATAAATCCCCTGGTCTGGACAACATTGATGCCAAGCTAATTAAAATAGGCGGTCATGAACTCAAGTAAAATCCATCAATTAATAGAAATGACCTGGCAACAAGAAATAATGCCGAAAGAATGGTATGGTAGTATTATTGTACCAATACACAAGAAAGGAAAAAAGGAATCATGCATGAATTACAGAGGAATCTCACTAATCAACACTACATATAAAATATTGGCTTCGATATTATTAAAAAGATTACTACCATACGTCGAAGAAATAGGCCTAGCAGATCGACTATTGATCAAATATTTACAATAAGACAAATGCTTGAAACGTATTGGGAATATAATCACGACGTGCATCAGATTTTTATAGACTTCAAACAGACTTATGATTTAATTAATCGTGCAACATTATGGAATGCAATGATCGAGCTTGGCGTACCCAAGAAACTAGCTTCGGTAACACAAATGTATGTAAGTAACTCTTTTGTACAAGTTAGAATAGGGAGGAAAATATCAAATGCTTTCTGCGTAAATTCTGGACTGAGACAGGGAGATCCGTTGTCCCCATTGTTGTTTAACCTAGCCTTAGAATCAGAAATGCGAAAAATATATCCAAAAATCAAACCAGACATAACTGCTCGAGGAGCAAAAATCATACTTGTCTTTGCCGATGACGTAGATGCAGTAGCACAATCAACATTAGAAATTAAGGATATCTTCTTAAACTTTGAATAAGCTGCATTAAACATCGGTCTAAAAATAAATGAAGACAAAACAAAATACATGGTCGTCTCAAAACAAGAACGACGGCAAATAAGGAAAAACATTACTATAAATGATCACAACTTCGAAGTGGTTAAAGAATTTAAATGTCTAGGAGTAACAATCACAAATGACAACAAATAAGAGCGAGAAGTTGAAACAAGAATTATGGCAGGAAACAGATCTTTCTTTGCAATGCAACATCTAATGAAGTCAAAACTTCTTTCACGAGGTACAAAAATCCGGATATATAAGACCATAAAACGACCAGCAGTCGCGTATGGAAGCGAAACATGAACGCTAACAAAAAGAGAAGTAAATAAATTGCTGGTGTGGGAACGTAAAATTCTTCGAATAATATATGGCTCTTGCAGAGACAGCGTGACAAACGAATGGAGGGGCAGATACAATAACGAGCTAGAGTCTCTATTCGGAAAAGAAAATCTAGTCAGAAATATAAAGGCCAATAGACTCAGATGGGCAGGGCATGTGATACGCAGTAACGATAATCGTCTTATAAACAATGTGTTCTGGGAAAGGCCAGATGGAAGAAGGTATGTAGGGCGGCCTAGAAAAGGGTGGAAAGATGCAGTCAAAGAATATCTAGAGAAAATGGGAGTGCGGCAATGGTAATTACTGGCACAGGACCGGCAAACATGGAAGGCAATAGTAATCGCGGCAAAGACTCACGAAGAGTTATAGCGCCATTGATGCTGATGATTCCAACTGTTTCCTCATCCCCTGTTTTTAGCTAGTTTTGATTTTGACATATCTTCAGCTTGGTCTTGGTCTCCCTTTATTTGTTTTGCTTACTCTTTCGTCCCTTTGCTTTATCTTTCGTCTTTCATTGTAATTATTGTTGTTAAATAATAAAATCATTAATTATGATGATTTAAAAAGAGATCTTAATTTTTAAAATTGGGATCACTGTTCTAATATGAAACCGTCCCTAATAATTTCTTAAATAATTTTACCGATACCCTCACTTCATTAATCAATAAATATACCAAAGAAAAAAAGAAAAAAGATGTAAGGTTAAGAGAAATATCTGGATGACAGACGGCTTAGGAAAATCGGTTAATAAAAAAATAAAATTTATAAAAATAAATTAAATAAGCTAGTTATTGAGGTAAAAAAATTTTTTTAAAAGGAAATTACATAATATTAAAACAGTTCTAAAGGTCTCTGGAATACTATTAAAACTTAGATAATAATAGCACAAAAAGTGAAATTAATTCCATTTTAAATCAAAATAATGAGGTAATCCCTGGTAGTCGGAACATTAGCAATATTTTTAATTAATTAATGGATTCGACCGTTACTTGATGGAAATTTATTTTACGTAACAATAAAACACTGAAAACTTTGTTTTCAAAACTTTCACAAAATTTATTTTAAACTCTTAACACTACACCTGTTTCGACTGATTGCCTTTCTCGACTGATCTATTTTTGGCATGCGTTTACACTTTATAGATAGACTCTAACAAAATAGGTTGAGGAGAGGAGAACTGTTCGTCTCCAGTTGATCATTCAGAATTATATCTGTGTTTTTTAATTTGTTGAATTCCATAGATACTAACAAAGATAGCTTAAGGCCTTTATTTTGAATGTGAAGAATTTTGAATTCGTCATTAAAAGAATGATTATGATCTAGAAGGTGAAGTGCGTTTGTAGAATCTCTTTTTCTATTATTGAAAGCCCTTTTATGTTCTGCAATTCGTTTATTAAAATTTCTACCAGTTTGACAGCTGTAAGTTTTTGGGCAGTTTTGACAAACTTGTTTATACACCGCTCAAGCAAATGAACAAAGGCCAATTACCACATGTCCTGTAGAAATTGAAAATTTTATGGGGATATTGCTGTTATTGCATATCTGTTTGCCAGATATGGCGAAAATTTTACCGAGTGATTGCCGGTATAAGCGATCTCCCACTTGCTGACCAACGGCTTCGGGCGGATAAGCTGGTAAGTGGTAAGGATCAAACTAGCACGCAGCGTCTGACCCAGAGTGGGCGGCTGCAAATAGCGTCTGTGTCCAGAGGATCGTCTAAAATACAAACCAGAGAAGGCAACGGGAAACCACTCTGGTATATATTTCCCAAGAAAACTACAATGAAAGCACAAACAGAATTGGCCCCTAGTCCCCGGCAGATCTTAGATGATCAAGGGGTGCGAAGAATCCCGGGAGGAATAGCCTAAATATTTTAAATACAAACTTTAAAATTGCAACATGGAACGTTAGAAGTCTGTACGAAACAGGAAAACTAGCAAATGCATGCCAAGAAATGAAACGTTTAGGGTTGCAGATATTGGGTTTGAGTAAAGTTAGATGGCCAGGTTCAGGTAAAGTTAAAACCATGAACAAAACTTTCTATTACTCGGGTAATAACGATCCGGTTCATCGTACCGGGGTTGGAGTAATTTTAGAAGACAAATATAACAATGCCGTCACAAACTTTGTGCCATTTTCGGACCGATGTCTTCTTATTCAACTATCCGGAAAGCCAGTAAATATTAACATCATTCAAACTTATGCCCCTACGGCCGATAAACCCACAGAAGAGCTAGAAGCGTGGTATGCTGACGTAGAAAAACTTATAAAGATGACCAAAAAACGAGACCTAACATTTATCTTAGGTGACTTTAATGCTAATTAGTTAGGTAGAGGAAAAGTTTCTGGATTGATCGGAGACTTCGGACTTGGAGCAAGGAACGACAGGGAGAGAGAATGACCGAATTCTGCCAACAACACAACATGGTAGCGATAAATACATGGTTTAAATTACACCCTCGCAGATTGTACACTTGGACTTCACCACAACACAATGAAAACAGAGTAATCCGTAACCAATAGATTACATATTGGTCAACAAAAGATATCACAATGCAATCATCAGTGCAAAAACATATCCTGGAACTGACATCAATTCCGATCATAATCCTGTTGTTGCAAAAGTTCGCGCAAGATGGAAACTAATAAAGAAACAAAAACCTCAACACCAACTATTAGACATCCAATTATTGAAAAACGACACCATACATCAGACAGTAAATAAAGAATTAAACAAAAATTTAGGAAATATCGACCACAATAGAATTAGCGAGTACGATGACATAAACGTTCTGTGGAAAACTATTAAAGAACAAATGAACAATGTAACGGAAAAACATCTAAAAGTAACACCTAGAAATAACAAACAGGAATGGATGACAGAAGAGATTTTACAATTAATGAACAAACGAAGAGAATCTAAAGGAAAAAATGACAAGGACGGAGAATACAAAAGACTAAATAGAATAATTCGAAAAAAAATAACCGAAGCAAAAGAGAAATGGCTGGAAACAAAATGCGTTGAAATAGAAGAACTGCAACAAAGGCACGATTTTTTTAATTTACATAAAAAGGTAAAAGAGTTTACATCGACTACCAAGAGAACGACTTTTCACACCATGCTGAATACGGATGACAAACTGATAGAATCAACGGAAGATAAACTGAAAGAATGGGAAAACTATATTAAAATTCTTTTTCACGA